GCTACCTGCAACTTTTCAGAGGGTCCTGGAAATGGAGACTATTATCATAAATAATGTTGTTAGATGCCATCCAGTTGGTTCTGACTCATAGCAACCCTATGTACAACAGAACAGAACCCTGCCCCGTCCTGTGCCATCCTCATAATTGTTGTTATGCTTGAGCCTATTGTTGCAGCCACTGTGTCAGTCCATCTTGTTGAAGGTCTTCCTCTTTTGCACTGACCCTCTCCTTTACCAAGCATGACGTCCTTCTCCAGGGACTAGTCCCTCCTGATAACACGTCCAAAGTATGTGAGACGTAGTCTCGCCATCCTTGCTACTAAGGAGCATTCTGGTTGTACTTCTTCCAAGACAGATGTGTTCGTTCTTCTGGCAGTCCATGGTATGTTCAATATTCTTTACCAACACCATAATTCAAAGGCGTCAGTTCTTCTTTTGTCTTCCTTATACATCTTCCAGCTTTCGCATGCATATGAGGCAATTGAAAACACCAAGGCACACCTTAGTCTTCATAAATAATACTAAGATGTTATTAACGTTTTCATTGTGTTTGACATTTGCACTGATACTGGAAAACACTGGTGGGCAAAACTGCTGCTGCCTTAGCATGAATCAAGGCAGTGGCACCAAACTTCAGCGGCCCCTGGCCTTGATGATATTGAGCTTCTCCATTGTCTCTTTCCACAGATATAGTCAATTTGATTCCTGTTTATTCATCCGGTGAGGTCCACGTGTATAGTCACTGTTTATGTTGTTGACAAAAGGTATTTGCAGTGAATAAGTCGTTGGTCTTGCAAAATTCTATCATGTGATCTCTGACATTGTTTCTATCACCAAGGCCATATTTTCCAACTACCAATCCTTTGTTTCCAACTTTCGCATTCCAATCACCAGTAATTATCAATGCATCTTGATTGCATGTTTGATCAATTTCAGACTGCAAAAGTTGGTAAAAATCTTCAATGTCTTCATTTTTGATATTAGTGGTTGGTGCGTAAATTTGAATAATAGTCATATTAATTGGTCTTCCTTGTAGGTGTATGGATATTATCCTGTCACTGACAGCATTGTACTTCAGGATGCATCTTGAAATTTTCTTTTTGATGATGAGTGCAATACCATTCCTTTTCAATTTGTCATTCCCGGCATAGTAGGTCATATGATTGTCTGATTCGGAATGGCCAATACCAGTCCATTTCAGCTCACTAATGCCCTAGGATATCGATCTTGAAGCATTCTATTTCATTTTTGACAACTTCCAGTTTTCCTTAATTCATACTTAGTACATTCCATGTTCTGATTATTAATGGATATTTGCAGCTGTTTCTTCTCATTTGCCACATCAGCAAATGAAGGTCCTGAAGCTTTACTCCATCCACATCATTAAGGTTGACTCTACTTTGAGGAGGCAGCTCTTCCCCCGTTGTTTTTTGAGTGCCTTCCAACCTGAGGGGCTCATCTTTGGCACTATACTGGACAGTGCTCTGCTGCTATTCATAAGGTTTTCGCTGGCCATTTCTTTCAAAAGTAGATTGCCAGGTCGTTCTTCCTAGTCTATCTTAATATGGAAGCTCTGCTGAAACCTGTCTACCATGGGTGACCCTGGTGGTATTTAAAATACCAGTGGCATAGCTTCCAGCATCACAGCAACATGTGAGCCACCACAGTATGACAAACTGACAGATAGCTGGTCTTACTTTCAGCCAGTGCAGAAAGAAAAAAAATAAATAAGCCTTCACTTCCTAGTAAAATGCCTGGTAGCACACAGTAGGAACTAAAAAAACGAGGATAAGGAAGGAAAAAAGACTGTTATTTGAAGATGATGTAGTTGTCTACATAGAAAATCAGAATGCTGCATTCAGTGTTTTGGAATTAATAAGAATTTAGCATGGTGTCTGGATATGAGAAAAAGAACAACTCTTTCCCCCGTCCAAAAAAAAAAAAAAAAAACCTAAGGATAAATCTAAAAGATAGAGAAGATCTTTTATGGAGAAAATTCTAAGTCTTTATTGCAAGGCTTTTTTTAAAATTTGAAATAATGAGGGAGACATTGATAAGGCAACTCAGTATTGTATAAGGGCAGTTCCAGTAGGATTTTTCAGGGATTGACAAAGCCCAGCCACTTCCTCCTGAAGAAGAGTAAGATAGGAGGACCTGCACTTCCAGATAAGGAAAATTTTTTTAAAAGTATACTAGTCAAGATAATGTGATACTGGTGCAGGAAAGATATTGACCAATGGAAGAGAGCCTAAAATATGGGGAAATTTGCTTCATGACAGGAGTGGTGTAGTGAGTAAGGAGCGGCTATTAGGTAAACCATGACAGGACAACTGATTATGCATGTGGAAAACAATGAAATTGAATCCCTATCTTAATACACACACATAATTAAATTTCACATAGATGAAACATGTAAAAAACAAACTTCTAGAATACATGAGATGGTATCTTTCTGACTTTGAGAGTATGAAAGGATCCGTTAAATAAGGCACACAAAAAGCTAACTGTATAAGTTTAACTATATTAAAATTAATTTCTTGTTAAAGAACTTCATAATTGAAAAGAGAAGCCACAAACTGCTAGAAGATATTTACAAGTAACCAACAAATAACTAGAAATATCTAAAGAACTACAAATCAATAAGAAAAGGACAAATAATTCAATAGAAAAATATTCATAATATATAAACAGGCATTTTTCACGGATTGGGGGAGCATATATGGCTAATAAGCAAAAAATTTAACCTCATTAGTAGTCAGGGAAATAGAAATCAGTATCTCAGTGAAATACCTTATTACACCCAGTAGATTGGCAAAAGTCTTAGGATTCTAATTACTGGTCAGGATATATATCCGTGGGAACTCTCTATGTATTGCTAAGTTAGTGTAAATTGGTAACACATTGGGAGACAATTTGACACTATCTGATCAAGTTTAACATTTACCTATCTACAATCCAACAATTCATTCCTGTATCTATACCTTAGAGCAGTAGTTCTCAAAGTGTGGTCTGCACATCGTTGGGGGTCCCTGCAACTTTTCAGAGGGTCTTGGAAGTGGAGGCTGTTATAAATAATACAAGGATGTTTTTGACATTTTCATTGTGTTGATGTTTGCACTGATACTGCAGAACAATTGTGGGTAAAACTGCTGATGCCTTAGTACCTATCGAGGCAGTGGGACCAAACTGCACCAGTAATCATTGTATTCTTCACACCACTGACTGACTGTTTGAAAAAAATAAATGCCTGTTTCACTTTTCGCTTTTAAAAATGTTCTTGATGAAACAGTACAGATTCTACCCTTGAAAACGTGTCTGGAGGAAAATCACTTGTGGGCTTAAGTTGCAAGCTAAGGTAGCCACTTTTTTCATTAACGGCATTTTTACTTGAAAGAATGAATGGCAAACAGTGGATATCCAGACGTAGGTATTGGGCAAACATTTCTTAAAAATGCATGGAACAAGTCTGTCAGTGTTTGTTGTCAATAACATAATCTGAGCTTTCAAGTGAAAACATATCCTCTACTGAGCACTCAACAGCTTCCTAATAGGTTTGTAATAGGAAAAAAACTGGGGGAAAGAAGACCAACAGAAAAATGGATACATTATGATGTATTTAGACAGTGGAGTAATGTAACACAGTAAAAATCAATGAAATACAACTGTATACAAAAACATGGGTAAATTTTAGAAACCCAATGAGTAGGGGGAAGAGAGTTCTCAGAATACTAAAACACAGTGTGATACTATATTTAGGATTATTCATATGTGTGATAAATAAAAGCAAAAGCAGAGATAACAATTTGGGATAGTAATTTTGTTTGGCTGGAGTCAGGGTGAGGATAGGGGAATGTGAAATAGGGGAAGAGCCCATAATTTGATTCAGACATATTGGTAATGTTTTAATTCTTAGATTTTGGTGATGAGTTTACAGATGTCTGTTGTACTTTTTTGCTTGGTAATTTACATATGTTTCATCCTTCTGTGTGTATCAAATATTGCATAATAATTTTTTTAATTTAAAAAGTAGATGGTGGCCATAAAAATACATGGTATTCCACTGAATTGGATATACTATAATGTATTTAAGCTGGTTTGATATTCTTTTCCTGTATCTTGAGTTCATTGGGCAAGTCATATAACTGTTTTCTGTAGTTAAATTAGGGTGATTATAACTTGTGAGCCTTTACCATGTGTCACTGTTTGAAGAAGCATTTCACATGTATTAGCCTATATAATCCTTGTAACAACTCTGTGAATTAGTACTATTATGTCCCTGTTTTAAAGATGAGATCCTGATGCATAGAGAGGTTAAAGCAACTTGTTCAAGGTTGCATAGCTAACAAGAGCCAGGATTTGAACTCAGGCAATGTAGCTCCAGGACCCCTTCCCCTCTTAACTACTATGCTATGCCAATTCTATAGTGTTGTTGTTAGCTGCTGTCGAGAAAGCCCCTGACTCATGGTGACCCAGTGCACAACAAAACGAAATGCTGCCCGGTCCTGCACCATCCCCATGATTAGTTGCAGGTTGAAACTGTTGTGATCTATAAGGTTTTAATTGGCTGATTTTTGAAAGTAGCTCGCCAGATGTTTCTTCCTGGTATGTCTTACTCTAGAAGCTCCACTGAAACCTGTTCAGCATTGTAGCAACAGGCAATCCACTACTAACAGACAAGTGGTGGCTGCACGTGCAGTGCATTGGCCAGGAGTCGAACCCCGGTCTCCCACGTGGAAGGTGAGAATTCTACCGCTGAACCACCAGTGTCTCTCAGTCTATAATACCATCTACTTTAACAAGCTTGTTTTGATTAAAGGAGGTATGTGTGTGTTAGTGTGATTTTAGAAATGTTAGGAGCTGTTACTAAGATTATTAGGCCTCCTTGAGAAGCTGTGATCCCCCCATTTGGGGAGGGTGGGTAGGAACAGAAACCCAGTGAAAAGGAAATGCTCTTTTCTTCAGGGCCTTTGCCAATGCGTTTTTATCTTCCCTTTTTCTAGAGACCATGGCGAGCCCAGGGAAGGACAATTATCGAATGAAGAGCTATAAGAACAATGCCTTAAACCCTGAGGAAATGAGGCGAAGAAGAGAGGAAGAGGGCATTCAGCTCCGGAAGCAGAAGCGAGAGCAACAAGTGGGTTAACTGGAGTATTCTCAAACATACTGTTCAGGGAAGCAATCCAGCTACTGTAGTTGACCTCTACCTTGCACTGTCACCTTCCCCTCAGGAAAGTAGCTTAGCTCTGTGGGCCAGTCATCCAGTTCTCTTTGTTGTAGCAGAAATGTTGGAAGCTTTGAGAAAGAGAGAATTAATCCTTTGTCCCTTTTCCACAAGTTAGACCAACTTAGACATCATTTGTATCTTCAGTATAACATTCTAGTTCTAGCCCCTTGTTGCCTTCTCTCTTCTTCACCTTGTAGTAAGTGTTAGGCCTGGCCTTCAAGGCCCAGCTCTAATCCTGGTCCTTTAAGAGGCTCATTCTTTGCTGCCTTGCTTCTATTTTGTTGAGTTTCTGTTCTTTGTAAACCCCTTTAGGACTGAAACTGAATTAATGCCTCATCATCTGCACTCCCACCCTACCCCTACCCGCACAACTAAATTGGTGCCTTGCCCATGTCTGAGTTCAGTCACCTAACCTGCTTTTTTCCCGCCCTCTTGCCATACCATTATTCTTTTTTCTTCAAAGCCTTATTATATCCATCATCTTTTATAGAAAGGGGATAAAAGTTTTAAAAACAAATTTTTTTTATGCTTATAAAGGTACTCTCTCAAAAAATGTGAACAGGTAGATGCAACATAGAAAGTAAAGGCCTTGAATATCTTTCCATGTCAGTATAAAGCTTGGGTCTCATTTTTTAAACTACTCTAGCATTTCCTTTACAGTTATGCCAAAATTTAACATTGGATTGTTCTTTGTTTTTGTTGGTTTGTTGTTGTTGTTCAGTGAGTAATCTTACTATGTCTCTTCACTTTACTTTCAGCTTTTTAAACGGAGAAATGTTGAGCTGATTAATGAAGAAGCTGCCATGTTTGATAGTCTCCTCATGGACTCCTATGTGAGCTCTACCACTGGGGTAAGGCCCTTGCATGCTGCCTGAGGCAGGCCTGAGAGGTGCCTCCTTCTAGAGAATAGAAATTGAGTTGTTCTCATCACCTAGTAGCTTTGATGATAACCAGGCAAAGTTCGTTTTTCCATGGGCGCTTTTGTAGTTGATCAGCTTAAGAAGCCAATAAGGATTCATCTCTGATAGAGAAGCCTGAGGAAATATTTAAGGGAAACTCTCAGTTGCCTCAGAGGTTAGAAATCACTTTCAACTGTCCCAACTTGAAGCAGCCATAGATTAAATGAACCCCTTCTCCTGAACCTGTGTGTTATACCATCATTTTGCCCTCAAGTCTTTAGAAAGCAGGATGCCAGGCAGGATTGTGTGCTCACATATGGCTCTGGTGTTGATTGCAAAGTTCTAAATCTGTTCTATGTTCTAGGAGGGTGTGATCACAAGAGAGATGGTGGAGATGCTCTTTTCTGATGATTCTGACCTACAATTAGCAACCACACAGAAATTCCGGAAACTGCTCTCCAAAGGTGCAAAGCCTGATCCTCCCCAGAGAAGCTCTGCATGATTTAGCCTCCCATTTTTTCTCACCGACCTCATCAACTACTCTTCCCTCTCATTCTGCTCTAGCCCTACTGGCCTTGATGTTCCTTGGACATGCCAAGCACATGCCACATTCCCACCTTTACTGGCTATTCGCTCTGTCTGATATCCTCTACTTCCAGATATCTATGTGGCAACTCCCTCGCTTTTATGATCAGATCCTGCCTTCCCAGTGAAGCCTGCCTTGACACACTAAAGTTGCAAGCTAACCCCCGCCACCCCCAGTATTTTTTTTTATTGCCTTACCCTGTCCTACGGATTCTTTTTTTTCCATTACACTTACTACCTTTTAACATAAAAGAATGTCTCTTCCCACTAGAGTGTGAGCTCTATGAGGGTCAGTTTTGTTCACTGCTGTATCTTCCAAACCTAGGACTATCTGGGACATAGTAGGTGCTTAATAAAAATTTGAGACTCTGTCAGCCTGACACCAAAAGAACTAGATGGTGCCTGGCTACCACCAATGACTGCCCTGACAGGGAACACAACAGAGAGTTCCTGACAGCGCAGGAGAAAAGTGGGGTGCAGAACTCAAATTCTAGTAAAAAGACCAGACTTAATGGTTTGACTGAGACTGGAGGGACCCCAGAAGACATGGCCCCCAGACTCTCTGTTAGCCTAGAGCCGAAACCATTCCCGAGGCCAACTCTTCAGACGAAGATTAGACTGGACTATGGGACATAAAATGGTACTTGTGAAGAGTGTGCTTCTTAGCTAAAGTAGATACACGAGACTAAATGGGCAGCTCCTGTCCAGAGGTGAGATGAGAAGGAAGAAAGGAACAGGAGCTGGTTGAGTGGACACAGGAAATCTGGGGTGGAAAGGAGGAGTGTGCTGTCACAGTATAGGGAGAGCAACTAGGGTCACATAACAATGTGTGTATAAATTTTTGTATGAGAACTAACTTGAATTGTAAACTTTCACTTAAAGCACAATTTAAAAAAAAAAATTGTTGTATAATAGGAAAAATACTTCTTGTCTCAGTGTTTCAAGCAGTCCTCCTAAGAAAAAAAAAAGCTGATCTTAAAAGAGAAATGTGTAGACTAGGGTTGCTTATGGGCTTTCCTCTCTCCCTTAAAATTCTTTGCTTAGGTTCAGTAAGCCAAAGCTAAGCATGTCAAAATTAGGACTGACTTTACTTTTTAGCATCCTAACTGAATTATATAGTTCAAATATGACCAGCTATTGTTAAAGTCACCTCACCAGAAGAGAGTTTGTGAATGGTTTTAAGGATGGTCAGGGGTATCTGGAAAGGATTGTGAGCTGACCGTAGTGAATGGATCAGCCAAAGGCTCTCGTGACTTTGCCTCTCCTTCCCTCCCCCCTCTTCCAGAGCCTAGTCCCCCAATAGATGAAGTCATCAACACTCCAGGAGTGGTGGATAGGTTTGTGGAGTTTCTGAAGAGGAACGAGAATTGTACATTACAGGTGAGGCCTGGAATGGTGGTGGGGGGTACCAGATGAAAGTCTCTTTTTCAAGAGATTGCAGTGCAGTGTTTCTACAGACACATCTTTCAGAAAGTAGACAAGTAATATAATCAAATGCCCCCTTGGCCTCAAAGAAGAGAGCTAAAATCTCATCCTTAAATCACGTAATCTCAAAGGAAAGATATCAGAATATGGCAGACCAATCATTCACTTATAAATTGGAGGTTCTAGTCCTGTTTCCACTGTAACTAGCTCTGTGAACTGGGGCAGATCATTTAGCCCCTCTCTTCTCAGAGATATGTGATGAGCCAATCCAACACTCTTATTGATACTTCCTAGAAACTCAGCTGGAAGGGACTTTGAGAGAACCATCTCACTCTAATCCTGGTTTCAGAAGTAAAGAAAGTGAAGCCCAAGAAATAAAGTTACTTGCCAAAAGACTCATGGGTGCTGTGCTAGTGCAGTCTGGACCTTGGGACCGTTGAAGCCCCATTCTGTCTTCACACTATGACATCACTGCCAATAACCTCTTCTTACCACTTTAAAGGGGGGTAGCTTTTTTGTTTTTTCATTTATTTATTTTTTTCACCAGGGACAGGAGGCTTACTGTTCTGAGCCAGCTGGTAGATTTCACTGCTGTGTCTGGAGTGACCTCTCAATGATGGTTTAATCTCTCTTTTTAGTTTGAAGCCGCCTGGGCTCTAACAAACATTGCTTCTGGAACCTCTCAGCAGACCAAAATTGTCATTGAAGCGGGGGCTGTCCCCATTTTCATAGAGCTGCTTAACTCAGACTTTGAGGATGTACAGGAACAGGTAATGGTCAAGTTTAGCTTAATTCTTGTTGGTACCCATTTCTCAGTACCCATAGATCATAGAGACAGACTAACAGCTTCTATTTCTCCCACTAGCTTCTTGCTAGTTGAAAGAAGTGGAGAATGGTACTGGAATCTTTACTCCATTACTACATGTAGAGGTGGTCCGAGGAGGCTACAAGAATGCAACTTTCCCATCACTTTCTCCTTATTGGGTCTTGGTTTGGCTTCTCTGGCTGCAGTACAGGTGGCAGCCTGTCTTCTCCATTGAACCAGGAATTCCCCAGGGGAAAGGCCTTCATAGAGCAAGTGCTCAATAAAGATTTTGTCAGGGAGGGTACCTGAGCTTGTTTAACGTGTCTCAGGCCCTGATGTGGTTCTCTGCCTGGGTACTTACTCTGTAGTTGGGACTATAAAGTACTCACAGAAGCTAACTAAGCTCTGCAGGTAACAGTTACATCATCCTCTTTTCAGGCAGTCTGGGCACTGGGAAACATAGCTGGAGACAGCTCCGTTTGCCGAGATTACGTCTTGAACTGTTCTATCCTTAATCCTTTGTTAACGTGAGTAATTAGAATCATCTGCACCTGAGGCATCTGTAGGGTGGCCATGGGGCAGGTCACGGGGGCAGCCTCCTTGGTCCCGTAAGATGAAAGGTAAATACAAAAACTCTAAAAGTGTAATCTGATTGCCAAAGTAAAATATAAGTATCTCTGAGAGCAAGACAATTGTGCCACTGGTCTGTGCCAAGGAGGATCTTGTGCTTCCTAATCTCATGGGGCTCTAGAGCCTCCTGTTGGTCATATCTGCCCATTGTTGAGTCAGGGGAAAGAGGCAGTACTAGCCCATCTGGAAAAATACAGTATTCTCTACAGAGTACATAGATTTGCTATGGGGTTATGACCATAGATACATTGGACAGGTCTGTTGTAATTTAGCTAACCATAGCTCAAAGACGCCCTAGAAGGGCCATCTAGATCCCTCTCCTGTTTCTTCCCACCCATACCCTTAAAGTACTAAATGAAGATAGATGAAACAAACTATTCTTCAGATCTCAGTCTCATAGGCTTCCACTGTCATTCTTTCTAGGGCTCTTCACAGAAAAATCATTCCATACTGCATGGCTAGAGCCCTCACACTAGACCTCAGCTTTTATTTCCAGAGAGAACGATACTTCTTGTCTGGGACTTGTGGCTAGAGTTAGGGCACAGTATGTCCTACCTTAAAAGCTTTACAGGTTTACCAAGATCCAACCCTCTGTTTTGCCCTTTTTAACTGTGGTCTTAACTAGCCACAGCTGGTCCAGTCCTCTACACGGCTGTAGGTGGACCTCCTGGTCCAAACAGGGCTCTCTTAACTTAGAGTTATGGGAAGGAAGAAATAGAGAGGCTGCTAGAGTCTCAAGGTCTGATAGAATTTACCTCCAGGGTTCATTAGCAACAGCTGTGTACCATGGCATCAGTGCTCTGCATCTGGCTTCACTGTTTCCTATAGACTCCTTACCAAGTCCACACGACTAACAATGACACGGAATGCAGTCTGGGCCCTGTCAAACCTCTGCCGGGGAAAGAATCCACCCCCAGATTTTCCAAAGGTGAGAGCTACTTGCCATTCCCTGGGTGATACCAGGTTCCTTCAAATGGAAGAATTTGGATATGGGAGTGTTTTAAGTCTTTGGGGAATCACTTAGAGCCTCAAATCAAACCCACGTGGAACTGAAAGAGATGATTGACAATGAAGGAGGTGATCTTGTGTGCCTGGTGTGTACCTAGATGGTAAAGTGGAAAGATAGGCCTGATGGTTTAATGTAGTAGAGATCCCAGGATCCAGAATCACTTGCGGGGGAAGGGATAGCAACATTAGGGTGAGTGGTAGAGTTGTCCCCTGATGAGCCCCTCTCACTCTGCTTCCAACAGGTCTCTCCTTGTTTGCCTGTGCTATCTCGCCTACTCTTCAGTAGTGACTCAGACTTGCTGGCAGATGCTTGCTGGGCCCTCTCTTATCTGTCTGATGGCCCCAATGAGAAGATCCAGGCAGTCATAGACTCAGGAGTTTGCCGGAGATTGGTAGAGCTTCTGATGTGAGTGATCTCCATTAGGCATATAGATCCCTAAGCTCCAAGCTCAGACTGAAGAGCTGTAGACAGCAGTTTGCTGTCCTAGCCAAAGGTCTGGAGCCATAAGAGTGCTGCCAGCCTTGGTAGTCAGCAGGCCCGAATATGACTCTCTACTGATCACTGCTCCTCCCTCTGTAGGCACAATGATTATAAAGTGGCTTCTCCTGCCCTGCGAGCCGTCGGTAACATTGTCACTGGGGATGACATCCAGACCCAGGTGAGAAGGGGGTGGTGTAGGATCTTAGCTCAGACCAGCTGTAGGAGAGCAATGTAGAGAGCTGCCTATGGACAAAAACCTTCTCTACTAAGAGCTTTAGTCCTGATGGAAGGTAGCATGGTCTAGGAGAGAAAGCATAGACTTGAGTAAAGAATTCCAGTTCTGCCACTTTCTCTACAATGATGGACTACTTGGTTACCTTCATTTCTTCTCTGAATTAGAAACAAATCATCATCCATTGGGTGCTTGTTAAGAAAAACTAAATGGGGTAACCCGACTGACAACATGGAACATTGTAAGGTAGTTCTTAATAATTTTTGAGTCATGGTCCCTTTGAGATACTGAAAGCTATGGAACCCCACCCCTATTTTCTAGGCCTTTAGATTCCCGTGAACACTACCTCGTGTTAGTAACCCCTCCAGTAAGGGGTAAGCAAGGTTTTCTTTGGGTTTTGAGCAATTGGCATAATTCTATGGGATTCTTGACAGGTTTCTTATAGGTGAGCAGCCTCACTCAAACCTGCACTCTCATTTTCTAGGTCATTCTTAACTGTTCAGCCCTTCCTTGCCTCCTCCACTTGCTAAGCAGCCCCAAGGAGTCAATCCGGAAAGAAGCTTGCTGGACCATTTCAAACATCACTGCTGGCAACAGAGCTCAAATACAGGTAGAACAAGCAGTGTTCTACCTGAACACTACCTACCGGAAGTCAGAGGGGACAGGGGTAGGTAGGCATGGGAACATGGGAGGTGGGATATTTGCTTCTCAAAGGAAGAATTGGTATCTCTTTAGAAATTGGGGTCAATGTGTGCTGTTGGTCAAAGATTCTTTGTAGGTAAAGCCATGTTCCTCTGTAGCCTGTCACCTATATGGGAAAAACAGTAGGACTCTCAGGAGGGAGATGATATCTAAGTCTTAGCTGATCTGTGGTCTGGCTTCTGCTTTCTCTTCTTGAAGTTGAATCCTTGAAAAGTACTTGAAGTTGTTATTCTCTAGGTGACCATCCTCCCATTCTCTCTCAGGCTGTCATAGATGCAAATATCTTTCCTGTGTTGATCGAAATCCTTCAGAAAGCCGAGTTCCGCACAAGGAAAGAAGCAACGTGGGCCATCACCAATGCCACATCAGGAGGGACCCCTGAGCAGATCAGGTATCACATTCCCTTCCTGTTATCTTGAATGATATGTTTGCTATCCCTCTTGGCTCATGATTCACAGATGACCCTTAAACTGCTTTGCTGGGGTAGGTCTGCCCCTAGTCCTACTGCAGTAGGGTTTAACTGGTAAACTGCTACAGTGAACTGGAATCGAATAGATTCCTATAGAACACGATATGTGGTACCTGTTTTCTCTCCTGGGGAATAGAAACCCATGACACAGAGATCCATCCCTCGTCTACCTCTTCTTACCTTAGAGAGAACTGAAATCCATGTAATTCTCAGTTATCTATACAAATGAAGGAAAACCATGTTTTGGCTTATTCAAAGCACCTTCTTTGGGAAATCGTTTTTGAGGATGAGACTTAAGAGAAGTAAATAGAAAGCTATTTTGTGTACGTGTGTTCTTTAGGATTTTAGTTTCACTTAACATGAGTAGGAGTTGTGAAAATTGGACATGTGTCTTGCCCTCAGCTCATAGTCCATAGTCTAGTAAGGGAAGTATAGTCTGTATATATATATAAAGTCTTAGGAGAAAAGGGATAGCCATTGAGTTAAGGTTTAAATATAAACAAATACGGTGTTGTAAAAGACCATTCGGATGGAAAAAGCATAAGTAAAGGTACAAGAATCAGAAAGCTGACAACCTTTACTTGCAACAGGTTTGACTGGAATGCAGTATCCTTTAAAGGGAATAATGGGAGGTGAAGCTAGAAAAGGAGATAGGAGACGAATTATAGAAGGTCTGTATTGTCTTCCCAAAGAGCTTGGACTTCAGACAGGGAGCCTGTGAAAAATTTCAAGCAGGGAAGTATGTGTTCAGAGCTGTGTTTCAGGAGAGGGTGATATTGCAGCAAGGGAAACATTAAAGGCAAGGAGGAGGAATCTATTGCAGTCATCCACATGAGAAGTGAACTACACAAGTAGCAATGGGAGGATGGAGAGATTGAGATAGAATGAGAATGAGTGGTTATCCAGACTCATTAAAAGTGGATTGCTGATACAACCATTTTGGAAAATGATATGGTGCCTCCTCAGAAAGCTAGAAATAGACATACCATACCATCCAGCAATTCCACTCCTAGGAATATATCCTAGAGAGATAAGAGTCATCACTCGAATAGACATACGCACACCTATGTTCATGGCAGCATTGTTCACAATAGCAAAATGATGGAAACAACCTAGATGCCCATCAACAGATGAATGGATAAACAAACTATGGTACCTACATACAATGGAGTACTGTGTAACAAGAAAGAACAGCAATGAATCTGTGAACCATCTCATATCATGGATGAAACTGGAGGACATTATGCTGAGTGAAATAAGTCAATCACAAAAGGACAAATATTATATGAGACCTCTATTGTAAAAACCCATGAAGTTCACACACAAAATGTAAAAATCTTTGTTGGTTACCAGGGATGGGAGGGGTGGGGGG